ACTCACGGAAAACAGGGCTGAACTCAAAATACAGCTTTATTGCTGATAAAGATGACAACGATACAAAATAACATGAAACTAAACTGGGAAGAACTAAGGAACGGACTTACAAGGAAACACACGGAGGGGCACACAGTCATGAGGGAGAACGCGACACCGAACCGAGGGAGACGCAGACATAAATACACAGAGGGTTAACACACGGGGAAGACAGCTGACACAGATAACCATAACGAGACAGGGCAGGAGTGAACATAACATGACGCATACAGACGAGAGATTATCAAAGTAAAACAGGAAGTACACGGAGGTTCAGACAGGAGGAGAGAGAGCACAGGGAGAACAGACATAACAGGCTGGGGAAAACATGGAATAAACACAAGGAGAGACTAGGGCTCACAAATACACAGAGGGGCACACAGGGGGTAAGATTCACAAGGGGAAAACACTTAGGGAACAACGTAACAGAGCAACCCAGGAAACATGGCCTAAATAAGGAACAAAATACATGAAACTAAGAATACTGGGCCAACATGGCCCAGGATCATGACACAGCTGTGTTCCCCATGTGCTTCCACTTCCCTCATTACCTTCTGTGTATTTATGTCAGAGTCTCGCTTTGTTCCATGTTGCGTTGTCCCTCATGCTGTGTGTTCCCTTGTGTGCCTCACTGTGAAGTTTAGTTTGTATTTTCCCAGTATAGTTTAATTCTGTATCTTTTCCTCGAGTCTGCAATAAAGCAGTGCTTTTGAGTTTATTCCCCGTGAGTTTGGGTCCTCTCCTGCCTGCACACAGCCGAAACATGACAAAAATAACATCATAGTTTACCCTCACACTATATCTTGCAGAGACGAACACAGTAACTTAAACAAGGACATCTTAAGGACAGACTCACATTTAAGTGCTTAGACACAATTTTAATTATATTAATGCAATATTTAAATAAAGGTTGGTCAAAATAATTTAGTCATTCATGAGAAGTGATGCATTAAAGTAAACGCTTTAAATAATGCCACTAAGTTTAGATATGTACTGCTTTAAAGCAAGAACATAAGGTCACAACAGCTGCGCATTAACTGATAACTGTGTTCCTAGCAATGCAATGACACTATTTCTATGCCTATCTACTTGTTAGACTATTATCCTGCTTGTGACATAATCACCCTGTTTATCAGGTCACGCGTGTTGCCTTCTTGTTCAAATAAAGATGTGATCTAATTTCCCATCAGAGAATTTCAAATCCTGCAATGATTTACCCAGATGTCAATATGTGCTTAACTTGTTGTCCATTACAAACATAAGTATTCTCTAATTCTCTTTTCTAGTTCTGTTACTGATATTCACTAATGTTAGAAAAAAGGCAATATTTAATACAACGGGCCAGGAAGTGTTTTCATAATGTTCAGACCTTCTGGCCTCCAAAGTAATAAGACTCTTTAACACGCAAGTGAAATATACCTACCAGCCACTTCATAAAGTACACCTGTTCAATTGTTCATTCACTCAAATATCTAATCAACCAATCACGTGGCAGCAATTCAATGCATTTAGTAGGGTAGACATGGCTAAGACAACCTCATTAAGTTCAAACTGAGCGTCAGAATGGGGACGACAGGTGATTTAAGTGGCATTGAATGTGTTAAGCGTTAGGGCCAGATGCCTTTGAGTGTAGTTCCACATCGGTAGAAGATCAGTTGAACGCAGCCTGCCTGAGTAATGCAGTTGACAGTGTCCATCCCACAGTGTGCAGATGTGTACTGATGGCTGCTTCCAGCAGGACAAAGCACCATTCCATTCCTCAAAGCACAAATCATCACAAACTGGTTTCTTCAAACATGACACTCAGTTCACTGTCCTTAAATGCCCTCAACAGTCACCAGATCTCAATCCAGCAGTGCACTTTTAGGATGGGGAGATTCACATTGTGGCTGTGCAGCCAACAAATCTGCAGCAACTGTGTGATGCTGTCATGTCAACATGGACAAAATGTCAGATGAATATGTGTCACACAGAATTAAGGCAGTTCAGAAGGCAAAATGGGGTCTAACCATGTACTAGCAAGGTGTACCTAAGATGATACCCTATGGAACTCCAAAGTGTTCAAAATTAAATAAATAAATAGGTCAAGATGAAATAAATAACTATGTGAATTAATAAGACACAGATATGTAATGTGAGAATGATATTGTGAAATCATGGAACACATTTTGAAATTTTAACTGGTGGTTTCTTCTTTAATTGGATGTAATTGTTATTTGTTTTTGGTTTTCGTTTCAATTAATAAGTGCTGTATTGGAATGACATTTTTATTACCGTTTGTTTTGTCTTTCCTATTACTTGGTGTTCTTAATGTGTTTAAGCAGATCTCCTCCCACCTGTTTCCATTTGGCCATTATCCTTTTTTTGTATTATTTTTAACATTTTTGAAATTTGACTTTTTATGCACAGGTTGAAAATGACATATTATCGTTATTAATGTTCTTTTAAAAGTTATTCAGCAGCTCTTGGAGAGTTTTTGGGATATAATATATCACATGTAACCCTTCTGGAATATATCCAACAAGTTTGAAGCAGAAATATTGTTTCAGTGACAAGTTATAGGCCACAATCACTTTTTGGCAGCTTGAAAATTGCATATTATCAGTGTTATTGTTCTTGTACAAGTTATTCAGCAGTTCTAAGGGACTGTTTGAGATATAATATTTGACAAATGACCCATCTGAATGACATGCAGCAAGTTTGAAGCAGAAATAGTATTTCAGTGACAAGATATAGGCCACAATCACTTTTTGGCAGGTTGAAAATTGCATATTGTCAGTTTTATTGTTCCCTTAATGGTAATTTAGCAGTTCTGAGGGACTGTTTGAGATGTAATATTTGACATATGACCCTTCTGGATGATATCCAAAATTTTTGAAGCAGAAACATTGTTTCAGTGACAAGATATAGGTGGCAATCACTTTTTGGCAGGTTGAAAATGACATATTATCGGTATTAATGTTATTTTAAAAGTTTTTCAGCAGTTCTTGGAAGGTGTTTGAGATATAATATGTCACATAGGACCCTTCTGAATGACATCCACCAAGTTTGAAGCAGAAACATTGTTTCAGTGACAAGATATAGGCCACAATCACTTTTTGGCAGGCTGAAAATGGCATATTATCAATGTTAATGTTCCTTTACAGGTTATCCAGCAGTTCTAAGGGACTGTTTGAGATGTAATATTTGACATATGACCCTTCTAATTGACATCCGCCAAGTTTGAAGCAGAAATATTGTTTCAGTGACAAGTTATAGTCCACAATCACTTTTTGGCAGCTTGAAAATGGCATATTATCAGTTTTATTGTTCCTGTACAAGTTATTCAGCAGTTCTTGGAGAGTTTTTGGGATATAATATATCACATGTAACCCTTCTGGAATATATCCAACACGTTTGAAGCCGAAATATTGTTTCAGTGACAAGTTATAGGCCACAATCACTTTTTGGTAGCGCTAAAATGCCATGTTCTCAGTCGTTATTCTGAACAAACAAGAAAGAGTCATGGTGATACTGGCACAATAGGTCTTTATTGTTTTAACTACTATTCGACAGTCTTATAACAAATATGAACAACGAGAGTAGGCATACTAAACCTGTAGGCATTAATTATTCCATCGTGATGCGTGTAGTCATTCGTGACTGCGCTACACACTGAAAGCAACCTTCTGATAAGCGTCATAATTCGGTTACAAGAAACGTTAAAGCTCCATAAATGCATACATTTGACTAACAACAAAGGCATAAATGTGTTTGGGCTTTTTCCCACATTATATCAGTTGCACGGAAGTAGCTGTCAACGCAAGTAATCCGGGCGCTGCAGCTTTAAGCGGCCGCGCGCGCTCCCGCGGACGGCAATCACTTTCTGGCAGACAATCACTTTTTGGCACAACACCTGTATCCAGGAAAACTAGTCGATGGTAAACGATAAGCCAATAGGTGCAAAGGTCCAGCCCACTTACATTGATTGACAGACAAAGTCATTCTGCTGAAAAGTCGCATTATGAAATAAATAGACCATCGGGAAAAACGGGATTTTGAAATAAAGACTGACTTTGAAAAAAGGTCATTTTGGAATATAAACCGCTGGAAATAAATAAAATGCCTCAGGAATAATCTCTGTTATTGTGAAAAATAATGACCATGAAATAATATTTCACAATAATAAGTACATTTATATAGCAGAATGTAATGTATTTCACAATAATGAGCATTGTTTTCAAAATGTGTTCCATGATTTCACAATATCATTCTCACATTACATATCTGTGTCTTATTTATTCACATAGTTATTTATTTCATCTTGACCTATTTATTTATTTAATTTTGAACACTTTGGAGTTCCATAGATACCTTGCTGATGATACAATATTAGAAAGTTGGATAAATTAACAACTTTGTTTTTATTTCCTATTAATTCAATCCCATAAGCCTATTGAACATGCTCAGTTTTGAAGTGTAGTATCACTGTGTGTTAAAATAATATACAATATAGAAACATAAGGAAATACAGCATAGTTTCATATGCGGACATATGCTCACTGCAAGAAGAATAAATGGTCTGATTTGCCAAATGTCATAATAAGTTATTTTAAATTTTACTGTTACACAAATACATAAAATGTAAACCATCTAAAACCCAAAAAAGAGTAGCTTTCTCTTAAAGGCTTTTCTTTCTTCCTGACATGTAACAAGAGGAAAAGCAGAAGTGGTCATATTATTCATACAGGATCTCTGCTAGACTTTTCTCAAAACATCCCGTTTTGAGAAAAACAGCATGAATTCTGAAGAAAACTCATGGCCCAATTTGGGGGTTTTTTTCTACTAAAATGACATCAATCTTCTTCCATTAATAAGTTAAGTTAAATGTTTTCTTTTTCTTTTAAATATTTCCACAGGCGTTGTGGAAAAAAAAGATAAAACCCTCTCATCGTCTCATCTTTAATGATTGATCAAAAAGTCAACATGTGTCCAGGTTGCAGTCCAATACAGGTGGACCTTTTCATTTAAAATAGTTACTGGATCTGTTCTTGGGGAACATGAGAACGTTTTTATTAAAGACTCTGAGGTCCTTCTGTTAGCGCAGCAGTCTTGCAGGATTTAAAAAGGTAAGAGGCCTATATAAACACCTTTTGGTGAAAACAAAATGACTAAGGTATTATGGTATTATTTTACAGTGACTGGCCAACACTGAAGACACAATATGATCCTCATTTTTGATGAAAAACGACATTTTCTTTTTCACTTGTCTCTTGGTGAGTTACTGGAGGCTTTTGTCTCAGTTTGACTTCATGTGGATGTGTGTTTTCTTGAGTGTAGTGAGATATATTCTTAGATGATTGAAAAGTGTTAAACATTTTTTAACGGATGAATTTAAAATTATCCGGGACCCTCTTATGTTCCCGATTTGTAAAATATTTGACAAATTATTGACTACAGTGAAGGCTTTTAACTTAAGAATGCTGTTTTATATCTAAACCTCTGGGCTGTCAGGCTTAATCAGATCACTTTTGCGATATGTATTTTTGCTGCAGGCCTGTTGAGTTTCCTGCAGTTTACAGGTCAGTAAGTAACTCATGAGACTTTGATTTCTACATTAAAAAGATAAAAATTGTGAAATGTGGTTGAGGACAAGGTTACACATTGTGCATCCTTTGTGGTTTTGTTTTTTTCATATCCAGAATGTGAGAATATTAGGCTGGTCGGACCTTCGCGTTGCTCTGGCAGAGTGGAGGTCTTCCACAAAGGCAGTTGGGGAACTGTCTGTCACGATCAGTGGAGCATTGCTAACGCTGAGGTGGTGTGTCGAGAGTTAAGCTGTGGGACAGCTATCGAGGCTAAAAAAGACGCCTTCTTTGGACAGGGAAAGGATGAGATCTGGTTGGATGACGTACAGTGTACTGGGCACGAGTCTTCCATCCTTCAGTGTCAGCACAAACCGTTTGGGGTAAATAACTGTGGCCACAATGAAGATGCAGGAGTGGTCTGCTCAGGTAAGCCCCAATGATGTTTGACATATTTTTGTTTTCCCTCACAAACCTTCATAGAAAACCTTTTCTTCGAGAAAATGTGCTAAGACATTTATTTTTTTGCTGCCACATGTTAACAGCTTTCTCAGTCCAATATAATATCACTTTAACAAATGCAACATGTTTAGGTTAGGTAGGTGGATTTTTTTGTCACATTCTACCATTTTCCAGTCTTTCTGCCAAGCTAAGCTAGCACTGCATTAACAGTTAAAGTTATCAGAAGTCAGGCAGAATTCATTCACATCAGCAAGATGTCAAAACTGCCCCTTTTCGTAAAATGTGGAACTGTTGTTGAAGTTGAGAAATCCTGTACAACCTAAGAGAAAACCAAAGAAAACCAACAAAAAAAAAAAAAAAACCTAAGAGAAAACCAGCTAACACAGCAATTATGTTAGCTCACCATGTTATGTGGTTTAGGTTTCTCGTTGCTGCAACATTTCCACAATTGTTAGGCTTTGAGAACAGCCATCATGGAGTCACATTTGTTCTTCTTGAAAGAAGCAAGAAGAAAATGTGCTATACATATAGCATTTAAAGATAACGTACATGTCTTATGATTTAATTTCGTTTTTGCTCCTTCTATTGTGGAAAGAAAAATGATGTCACATACTTTTATGCATGAGTCAGTATATTTAAAAAGTGTATTTAAACTGTGCTAAGATATATTAATTAGTATGTTTATCTTGCCCAGACACTAAAAAACATTTTGATCAAACATTACGCACACAGTCCTGTTGAAAACAATTTGCAGTGTATGACTCTTGATACATTAAAAGTTTAGCTTTGATTACAAACAATTATTTTGTGCATTATCAAGAATTTAATATCAATTAAAAAATTAACAGTTTGGCTTCTCGAGAAGTAAACTTGAGCTTTTGAGATAGTGGAAGACAGATTTTTTTTTTACTGGCAAGAGCATTCTCCTAGTCTTGAGGGTATCAGCAGATACTTATGAGAGCAGTATTAATTTCTCCAATTGACCTTTAACATTCTTTTGCTTTCCCAAAACGTTGATTTTGTTCATCTGCACGTAGCGTTTTTAGTGGGAGAAATGTTTTGTCACTCATCCAAGTGACCTCTTCAGTCTCAGTTCGCTGCAGGCCAGTGGACACTCTTTCAATGATGAGGATGTACACATCGTGGAGGAACGCTGATTGGAGCGAGGAGTCAAGGAGTCCATTTACGTGAAAAGGGAAAGACCATCTCTGAATCGAGGTGGGGGCCTAAGGGTGCATCTTTCACCATCTTAAAGCACTGTGATTGCAGCCATTCCCCAACTCTCTGTGAATGCTACTTATGGCCATTGATCAGTTGTCTTTGACCAGTTGTTGTTGATCAATGATCATGACAATTTGCATATTAATGATCAAAGAACTGACCTCACAGCCCATTGTTCATTCAGTAGGCTGGTTTCAGTTATTGTTCAAATATACTGTTTATAAGGTTGGGGAGACCTGCAGTCAGCTGAGACTGAAGAAGTCACTTCGATTAGTGAGGAAATGTTTCTCCCACTGAAAACGTTACGTCCAGATGAACAGAATAAACCTTTTGGGATTTACTTACTTACGGATGATTAAGCATGCACCAAGGCATTCTTTTGTTTTCTTTTGGTAATATGCTTTAGATGCCAGTTTCTTCCAATTTGGTTCTGACAAAGTTAAAATCTTCACTAGAATTAGTAGTATTATTGTATATAGACTATGGGAAATACAGACACACTGGCTGATTGTATTATTATTTATGAAACACATTATTATTTTATTACGTTTAATATCCACATCATTTGCAGAACATGTGCGGTTTGAGAAAGGAACCACTCGTTGTAATGGCAGAGTGGAAGTCTACCACAAGGGTCAGTGGAAAAGAGTTTGCAATGACTGGGGCAAGGAAGCAGCTCAGGTGGCATGCAGAGAAGCCGGCTGCGGCGATCCTCTCGGTCAGAATGAAACACCATATTTTGGAGAAGCACATGAACTGTCTGCCATCAAAACCACTTGCTCTGGAAATGAGAACTCAATCTCACAGTGCAAACTTAAAGATTTCAGAGAAAGCTGTGTTGATGCTACTGTTGTCTGTGCAAGTAAGTTGGCCATGGTACATGGCCAGTAAAACTGACACTGTTAGATTGTCCCTTTCTGAAAGAAAAACCATGCCCCTAACTTTTTTTTTTTTTCTTAACAGACAGTCAACCCATTCGGCTGGTGAATGGGACTAATCGCTGCTCTGGTAGAGTTGAAATCTACTATAAAGGACAATGGGGAACAGTTTGTGATGACAAATGGGGGATGCAAGATGCAGCTGTAGCTTGTCAAGAGATGAACTGTGGGAATGTTCTCTCAGTCAAGTACAAGGCTTACTTTGGGAGAGGCCAGGGTCAGGTTTGGTTGGATGAGATGGAGTGCACTGGTCATGAAATGTTACTCGCTGACTGCCCTCACAAAGATTTTGAAGAACATGTCTGTGACCACAATGAAGATGCTGGTCTTGTGTGCTCAGGTAACACAGGCTCTGTTCTGTTTGTTTCTCAAAACTGAGTTTTAATGACAATCCCAATGATGCCAAATTTTGCTTTGCAGAGACAGTCAGATTGATAAATGGGAGTGACACTTGTTCTGGCAGAGTGGAGGTTTTCCATGATGGCCAATGGGGGAAACTTTGTAGTAATAACCGGGGTCTTAAAGAAGCTACAGTCATATGCAAGGAGCTCGACTGTGGAGCTCCAAAAAATTCCAAAGACACCTACTTTGGTGACAGCTCACTGCGAGGGCTCACAAGTAGATGCTCTGATAATGTGAACTCTATCAGCCAGTGTCAACTGCAAGAACACAGAGGGTCATGTGAAGGTGTATCTCTCGCATGTGCAGGTAAAAGATACAGACATGCTGCAATCCTGCTTTCCAAAAATAGCAAATGTCATGTTTGGACAACTTTTAAAAGAAAAGGTTGGCTCATGTGGAGTATTTCTTTTACTTAATATGTACTTGTGAATGTGTTTAAAGGTCTGAGGCTCATCAAAAGCATTTAAACTAAAATCCTGAAGGCTCAGTCTACTGACAGACACTCACAAGTCAAAGACAATAGAATGGGTTACAGTTTTGCACTTTAACTTTTTTTTATAAAGGCTTCATAAAGCCATTTCTGCATTCTCTGTGTTTCTGTCTGTTTTGTTGTCCACCAACTACTTCTTTACAATTAGGAGCTGAGCAACTAAACGTGGCATAGCTTAAGACTTTGAAGTTTCTTATCTATATCAGATATTATTATATCACTATGTAGCCTGGCAACCACCTAGCAACATGTTAAAATGACCTATTTTTAATGTTTGCCTGCCTGCAACAGGTATAGTTTTATTTCACCACAGTAATACGTAATTTATATCTACACAATCTCAGTTACTCCTGACATTATGACACCATCAGGCTGGAACCAACTAGCAATGGACTAAAATGACCTGTTTTTTGCCTTTATGCACCTAGAGCTTGTTATAAAAGCATTATCTTTCAAGACATTAACGTCTTATTTATATCCACAAACTCTGATTGTTACATGATATACACTAAATGGCGAAAAGTATTGGGCAACACTTCTTAATCTTTGAGTTCTACTCCCATTGCCAACACTGATTTCTGAATCAGGCTCTCAGCCATGTAGTCTGCTCATGTGTGATGGATAGATATGAAGCTACACAACATGCTGCTGTAAAGCTAGTTTCTGCTGTCCCCAAGACGCCAAAAATGAATAAATAAAAAAATCTGTTACAACAAATTTTAAAATTGATGACAACCTTAAAAAAAAACAAAGAAAAGCAACAGCTTATAATATTTATTGTTATTTGTTTAACGTGTGCCCTCAGGTCAACCACCGCTAAGGCTTGTGAACGGCATTGACCGATGCTCTGGCCGAGTGGAGATTCTGCATGACGGCCAGTGGGGAACAGTGTGTGATGATGACTGGGACTTAAGAGAGGCTGAGGTGGTGTGCAGAGCCATGGACTGTGGAACACCTCAGAGAGTTAAACCTGGTGCCTTCTTTGGTGAAGGACAAGGAGTGATCTGGCTGGATAATGTCAACTGTCTGGGTAATGAGACGTCTCTTGGGCAATGCAGTCATCGCTCCTTTGGAGAGAATAACTGTGGTCATGATGAAGATGCAGGAGTGATTTGTTCAGGTACAAACTATTGATGTTTCATTTCACAAAGTGTCTTTTTGTATTTTTTTACCTTTAGATCCCAAAAAGTTCTGGATGTAGCATTTTCTTTGGATATTTGTACTCCAAAAAATGTTCAGTTATTGATTACATAGCAGTTATTTCTGCAACACCAATATCAGATGAAGCTTCAATTAATACAATTCTTTCAGATGAACACCAACGAATTGCTGATATTTTTTCTCTACTGTGCTTTGTAGCTGCCATTCGACTAATCAATGGGACTGACCTGTGCTCAGGAAGAGTGGAGGTCCACCATGGGGAACACTGGTCACAAGCATTTAATGTTAACTGGGGAATGAATGAAGCTGCTGTGGTGTGCAGAGAGATGAACTGTGGAGATCCTGTCAAGATCTCAGAGTCATTTGGTAAAGGTCGAGATCTGAGAGGGTACGAGATTCGCTGTAACGGCAGAGAGAGTTCTCTCACGCAGTGCACGTTTAGAGACCATACCAGATCTATCACCGATGGTACTGAAGATGCCTCTGTGGTATGCTCAGGTAAAGTCTGATGTCAAATTGAAATTAGACTTTCAAAAAGAAAATGAATCCATTATATTCTTCTTTAAAAAAACTAAGATGGAAATTGTTTCTGGCCCTTTCACACAACCTTTAAATATTGGTAGAAGGGCTTCAAGTTACATGAACAAATGCAGAAAACTGGACTAACTTTAGAAAAAAGACCAGTGATTTAGTGAAACACCGTGTTCATGCAAAACACCCGATTTATAATTATGCAATGAAACCCCAAGCAGTGATTTGTCAGGTACCAATCTAGATATGGAGTATCTAGAATAAATATGGAAACTATGTTCAACTAAAAGGTTAGATTAGAAGGCACAAAAACTGAAGACTTTCCAAGAGTCTTATATACTGAGTTTTTAAGGTGTGCTATGTTTTTGCGTATACTGTCAAAAGCTCAGTAGGCTTAGTCCCGACATACCACACAAAAATTCATCCTACTCAGACATGAAGCAAAAGTATCAAGATTTCACAAGCACAGTCACTAAAAATAATCAAACACTAAGACACTGTGTATATACAAAACTAACGTCATATATCAATAATACCAATAGCATCACTCTGGCTTTTGACTGGCTTTATTGACAACCACCAGTCAGAAGAATGGAAACATTTCTCCAAGCTTCAAATTTGATCATCTTCCTCAGCATGGCAACCACAAACCAAAAAAAGGATTTAGCCTTGCTAGCCAAGCATAACGATAACTGTAATGTCTGTAAACATGAATGAAAACATAGAAGCCCAGTAACCACAGGTCCTCCTTGTATCAAACAAGCACTCTCATTCATAGAGTTCCTCTCTCAACTGTCATTTCCATTGGACCAACTTCTACAGATATCACATACATGTCGATATATTACAGTATGGCTACATTTTCAACATAAAAGATGTTTTACGTGCTTCGACTGTCCACTGCTGTTTGGATCCAGCACAAAATTAATGTGATGCAACACAAAAATATTAACCACTTAATCAGTCAGCAGTACATCCCTAGTTCAAAACCAAAAAAAAGTCATACAGTGCACTATATACAGTGTGGGTCAAGTTGTATTTCATGTACATTAATATAACAGCTATCATTTCCAGGAAACGTGAGATTAACCGGTGGATCCACTCGTTGTGATGGAAGAGTAGAGATTTATGACAAAGGCCAGTGGGGGACTGTGTGTGCTGAATCCTGGGACATGAATGATGCAGCAGTGGTGTGCAGACAGTTGGACTGTGGGAGTCCTCATAAGCTTATTCAACTTGGCCCTGGTACAGGACAGACCTGGAATGATCAAATTGAATGCAATGGAAAGGAGCCTACATTGAATCAGTGTCCACAAAGACCAGGTCTGGACAGAACCTGTGACACAACTGTATTGGCCGGTGTTTCCTGCACAGGTAAGAAGAAGCAAAAATAAAATGCCAAAATGTAATTTTGGCAGCTTCTTCTTCTGCTTCTTCTTCTTCTTTTGCTTACTTTTTAAGATATTGTCTTCTGAATTTAAATAATGTATAATATAACTAAGTACGTCACAGTTTAAAAAAGAATATTCTTATATACCTGTGGCTATATTTTTTGTTTACTTCACAGGGAGCTTGGCAGTGCGGTTGGTTAACAGTACTGATGAGTGCTCTGGGAGAGTGGAGGTACGTCACGGCGAGCAGTGGCACGCAGTATGTGACACAGACTGGACTCTAAGTAAAGCTGGAGTGGTGTGCGAGCTGCTGGAGTGTGGACGCGCCGTGAATGCTCCTGGTGCTGCTTTTTTTGGCCAAGGCAGTGGGTCAGTGGTGGAGGCTAGCACTTCTTGTTTCCACAGCGTGACTTCTCTTCAAGAATGCTCGGTGAAGGGTTTTACAAGAGAAGACTGTGGGCATGAACATGATGCCGGTGTTCTCTGTGCTGGTAAGGCCTTTTATATCAAAGTTGGTTTCATAAATTTCCAAATTATAACACTGGATTGTAAAACTGTCGTATTTAATTTGGTCAGCCATGTGCAGATTAATGTTTAACAAAATTATTTTCTTTTCGCGTTTTTGTTTTTTTTCTTTAGAAAATGTACATTTTTTTTACACCTATCTGGCTTAGGGAGTAGGATTAGCCAGCAACTGTTTTGCCTATTGCTTGCTACGTATTGCCAAACAGAAAGCTGTAGAGGTCACTGTTAGACAAAGCCAGTCTAGGTAATGCTTTCTTTATAGCTAAGCTAAGCTCAGCTAGCTTACTAGTTATTTATCTTACATAGACTTGAGTAGTATGGACTTCATCCATTAAAAAGCGAAAACGTCATATTTCCCATGACTTGAAACAGTTGTTGCAATACTCCTTTTGCCTAACATAATGGACTAATAAACGATATAATATCCAATTAATATTATATTTTGGTATTTGTTTTTTATGCATTAATACAAACATTTTGTAAAATATATAGAGAAGAATCCTTTCAAGTCCTTTTATAGTTTTGTCTTCTTTTTGGTTGTTTTAAGGACTTTCCATTGTACTTGTATTCACTCTTTCTGCTCTGTTATGCAGCACAAGTCCGGTTGGTGGATGGCTCAGTTGAATGCTCCGGCAGAGTGGAGGTCTTCTATAAAGGACAGTGGGGAACTGTGTGTGATGACGATTGGGAAATGAGCGATGCTGATGTGGTATGCAGACAGCTTGATTGCGGTCATGCCATTTCAGCACCTCTAAGTGCCCATTTTGGTAGAGGCTCTGGTCCAGTATGGCTGGATAATGTGGCATGCTCAGGCCAAGAGTCTGCACTTACTCATTGTTCACACGATGGATTTGGAGAAAATAACTGTGGGCACGATGAAGATGCCAGCGTTATCTGCTTAGGTAAGAGACATAGCTCATTTTGAACTGACAAATTATCTCATTGCTCCTGAGAAAGTTGTTTTGGCTGTTACACAAAAACCATTTATTATCTGCTTCAGGTGGTCAACAGAAGCCCAAAATCACAATAAGTCCTGCTGCAGAGGTTAAGTGGGGTGACAAAGTTGAAATTACCTGCACGCTAGTAACAGAACGCATGGGTGGGAGATTTCTCCTGAAAAAAACCCAAGGGTCATTTCAAATGGAAAAATTCTCAGATCATGCATCTGCAACCTTTGTCTTCCCTAAAGTGGACTTTAGTCAGAAGGGTTCATACTACTGTGAATATCAAAAGGTGTTGGCCAGTGAAGTCATCTACTATCCTCAAGGAAATCCTGCTGACCTTTCCGTTGTAGGTCAGTAATTTTGTGCATTGTTTCCTCTGTTTTGCACAATTATCGGAAATTGTTGTTTGCAGTTAAAGTGGAAAAACCCAACATCTCCCTGATGTCCCCCAATGCAATGGAACTCACCAATCCTGACACAATTTCTGTCTCTCGAGGCAGCACCCTCACTGTCACTTGCTCTGTTCATTCTATATACCCTAGAGGCATCTTCTATTTCATACATTTAAACACAAACACTACTGAATCAAAGTCAGCATTTGGCCACTCAGCCTTCTACCTGGCCAATTTTGAGCTCGCTGCAATAAGTCATGAACAGCACGGAGAGTATGCCTGTCTCTACAGCGTTAGCATCGTCAAAAAATCCTTCAATTCAGTTCCTTCAAAGACTCTTAATATCAATGTAATATAAACCATTTATATCGTTGTTATTTCTTCTTTTCTTGCTGATAATAAGTTAATCAAGTGCATTTGATTAGCACCACATGGAAGCAGTAAGTTGTGGACACTGCTTCTGCATCACTCACTGGTGATGAGTGTTTCACTTTACTGTGGAGCCATTTTGGTCCACTCTTCTTTCAAACTTGTTTTAATTCAGCCACATTGGAAGGTTAGCTCCTGTTAAATAAATGAAACACATTGTAATATGCCATGTATAGTTGTTCAGCCAAGGTTGTGTTTATCAAAGACCTGTCAAGAACCAGAGGATTGTTTTTATCATCGTGTCTTTATGCGTAAAAAGAGGGTGTGCTGGTCATGTGTTGTGGGGATGAGGACCAGCATAGCATCAGAGGCATCTGCACAGCACACAATAGTGGGCTACTGGAACAAGAAGGCATAAGTGGACACCAACAGCTTGAATGCTACTATGCAAGTAATCCCACAGAAGGTGTTACACGAAGAGAACAGAGGATGTGGTCTCACATAAACTTCACAAATAAAAAATGTCACTGAAGGCCATTTGCAATTCTATTCTGAGCATTTTTTTATTTAAAAAAAAACTGCATTTCTAGGACTAGCTCTGAGGAAACTTGAATACATGATATATTATCACACAAGTGTGGGTAAAAACAAAGTAAGAAAAAGAACAAAAAACACCTCTTTAACAGGTTTAGTTGGTTATGGCAATGTAGTTGTTGTCACTGTTCCTTTCAGAGCTTAAGGAAGTCCTCCAATTGTTCCATCTCTATTGCATTGTCAAATGCACTGATGTCCTGTAAAAGAGAAGATATGCATGATGGATTCCGAGAAACAGAGTGAAAACACTATTAGTACAAAGGCATTATTAACCTATTTAAAAATATTGCACTGTGTACTGTACATTTGTCCAATATGACATACAACACAACAAGCCAGACATTCAGATAACTGAGATCACCATTAGCTACAGTTATGCTTACTGGGGTAAGCATATGTTCATGTTCACAACCCACAAAAAGACACAAACCATTAAAAACACAACTCAACTGCACATGAACACGCAAAACAGCACCCTACTGTTGGGTACGCATTTTTTAATCCAATAAGGGTTTCTTGTTTTATCTTTCTTTGCATTTCTTTATAGCCCAATTCTTTCAGTTGAATTTGTTCTTGCACTGGATAATAAAAAAGGAAAAAATGGCAGATTTAAGAGAATGAGAAAAACAAACAATATTAAGATGCTTTGTGGCAGGAAAAAGTTGAAATCTTAAAACAGCTTCTGCTGTGGCTGATTGGCTTACTGCTGTCAAATAATTAATATCTTTGGGAAAGACTATCTGGACTGTTTCACACCTCTTTCTGATGTTGTCTTTGTACCACAGCATTTTTTGAGCCTATAATGCCCTTGGTATTATATTCGATTCATGAGTGTCTGAGACCTCTATCTCATCAACACGATCAATACTTGCCATAATTTCAAAATATTATGGACAAAACTCTTTTTTTTAACTAAAAGTAACATTGTTGTTAACAAAAAGTTGCCAATGTATCAAATGTGATTCAGAAAATATATAATAAATATATAATAAAAAAATATATCATACACAACATGACATAGGAAAAAAAATTGCCTTTGTTATATGGGTTAATAAACATCTCAGTTCCAAAAAAATCTTAATTTTCTGGCTATTTTTGATGGGTTGGGTCTTCAGGTATTTTTGGCAATATTCATTGTTTGCATGCTTGTAGTCTTTATCTGTTATAAAAAGTAAATTGAACACAGTCTATAGTGCAGTTAAAAGGTTTCAATGTTTTGGAGATATTCGGTCCTTAACTAAAGTATTACACAAACTAAAGTTTGCTATGGCAAAACGTTAACATGCTTCATTACTTGTGGGTACATAAATGTCTGTATCAAAAGCTGCCAATCAGGTTCTTTCCTCCTATCTTTCAGTTTTCTGATATAACTGTATATATACCATTTGTAAGTTGGAAGGATGAAAGGAATACTCTGCAAGCAAATAGTTTGTCTCACTAAGTCTAACTGGAAGGCTGAAATCTGATGAGTGATTGAATGAACAGGGAGTGTACAAGTCAAAGTATTGGTATGTATGCATTTCTCCATGTATTTCTGTCCCCTGGCTTAACTGTGTGAACAACCAGTAGTTAGCATACAGTGTAAATATTGATTTTAAAACTGTGTCCACGCCTTAGACTAACCACATGGTTTCTATTCTTTTTTTGTGTGACGACATCAGCAAGCGTGTAAATAAAACACATCTGATCATAATTTTAAGTTTTGAATCGCAGGTTCAGCTTATTATTAGTTATTCTATGAGACTTACTCCACAGTAGACGTCTCCATTGAATATTTGTGGAGGAAGCGCGGTCGGATCTCCTGCTCCCTGCCTCATTAAATCCTTATCATCAGAACTCTGAGAAATGTCCACAGGTTGAAAGGGGATCTTCTTGGCGTTTAAGATAGAAAAGACTCTCTCTTGGTTCTTCTTAATCTGAAAAGGCATATTTAATCCGTTATCAAGACTAATAGCTGTGTGACTTGTTATAAAAAGTTTTCTTGTATAATAAAAGTTGCTGAGTTGTGCATAGAGAGCAGTAAGATTGTCTATAAAAGTAAATACTTTACACACATCTCACAATATTTTGATAGTATCAGTGATATATATTAATCACCGGCTAAAAATAAAAGAACAAGACAAGTAAGATTGTGTACTGTACCTGTGTAGAACCACTCACACTTGTAAAAAACACTTTGACTGGCATTTCTGCTATATTAACAGGAATAGTCCAATACAGAAAAACACTGAATGACAGAGTGGGAATGACAGAAGCGCAGAGAGAAGTGGAAAGTCACAGAGTGATCCTGTGCTAGATATGCAGGCACTGCTGGCGCAACCACACACAAAGTAAACAGGTTTGGACAACTCTTACCTGTCTGCAAGGACACACCTACAGGACTGAGTGCACTTCGAGTTGTGGCCTGTCTACTTCAGTTGTGAAACCAGTCAAGTACACAAACACACACACTCTATTTCATATCTTAGTGAGGACATCTATTTAACATAATGCTTTCCCTAGCCGGTTACCCTAACCGTAACCATCAAGAATGAATGTGTTGCCCTAACCCTTAGCCTAAACCTAACAATAAACTAATTGTAACCCTGACACTAAAGCTACATTTTGAGCCTCAAAAATGCCTTCAAACTGACAGGCATTTTGTCCCCCTACAAGTATAGTGGCAAGCCAATTTCCCGTCCTCATAAAGATGTCTAAACATGTATACACACACATAGATTGATAGATAACCACATTGCTACATTTCCTTAGGCACTTTCATTTCATCAAAGTTCACAGGTAACTATTGTACCTTTTACACAACTGCGTAAGTTGTGTTACAGACAAATTTTGGCTTGTAAAGTAAAAGCACTAAATAACAGACAAAAAGTTGCCAGGATTTCATTTAGCCCTGTATGCATGCTCACCTTGGTTGTCACTAGGACACTTGTGAGTTTACCCAAAACAATTGTTAATCAACTAGAAAACTATACACACATATGAAGCCTTTGACTTCATATACTTACTCATCCATGTCTTTACGGACCTTGCTTTGTGCACTGGTGTGCAGTCATGTTGGAACAGGAAGAGGCCATCCACAAACTTTTTCCTCAAAGTTGGGAGGATTACACAGTCCCAAAATGTCTTGGTTTGCTGAAGCATTAGGAGTTCCTTTCACTGGAACTAAGGAGCCAACCAACTCGACCAACAACCCCACTCAACAAAACTTACACTCGGCACAATTTGACAAGTACCATTCTCCTGGGAAGTGTCAAACCCAGACTCGTCCATTGGTTTGCCAGACGTAGAAGTGTCCCTCCAGAGAACACATCTCCACTGCTCTAGAGTTCAACGGTGACCTGCTTTAAACCACTGCAACCGACGCTTTGCATTTCACTTGGTGATATGTAGCGTGGGTGCAGCTCGACCATGGAAACCCACGCCATGGGACTTTCTAAGCAATGTTCTTGATCTAATCTCAAGGCCACATGAACTTTGGAGGTCTGTAGTGATTGACTCTGCAGAAAAATGGGGACCTCTGTGCACTTCAGCATCCATTGACCCCACTCTCTGATTTTATATGGCCTAATTTAATTGCTGTAATCACTTCCACTTTGTTATAATACCACTAGCAGTTGAATGGAATATTTAGTAGTGAGGAAATTCCATGAATGGACTTGTTGCACCGAGCTCATTCACACCCATTCTTTCACAAATCTTTGTAGAAGCAATGTGCATTCCTAGGTGCTTGATTTTATTCACCTCTGGCCATGGAAGTGTTTGAAACACCTGAATTCAATGATTTGGACAGGTGACTGAATACTTGGCAGTACAGTGTGTACGTAGACACTAAAGCTGGTGGGCCTAAATGTCACACCAGGAGGTTCTTTAACACAAGGGGGAGCAAGCGAATCAGAACCCAGGGCACAGACTCAGCAGGTCCAATCAGTAAAGGTTTATTCCCAGAGAAGGAAAACAGGAATAAACACCATTAAAAAAATTGCAAAATAAAAAAAATGTTCTTTAAAAACTAAAATCCAAAATGTCTTGATGCATGCTCAATCATCCAGGTAAGTAAATCCCAGTAAATACCGAGGCATTTTCAGTGGGAGAAACATTTCGTCACTTATCAAACTGACTTCTTCAGACTTCTCCATTTGACACTTTAAATTTTGTTAATCTAAATATATTGTACTTTATGTAGCTTATTTAATCTACAAATGTATTTTGACCAAAGGTCTACTGAGATATTTTTAAATTACAATGAGAATTTTACACAAAAGTTATGTACAACCTAAATATTTATATTTAATGAAATGTGTAAGTTATATATTTTTCCAGTATCGACTAATGATATGCTATTGATATAGTCAGTTTTGATACTCTTTGATACTTGAAGGACCTCTATAACGTATATATTTAATCTGTGATTATGATAATTAAATTATGATGTGCAAATGGACCATGTATAACAAATGACCCATGTTGTATATGAAGTACATATTTATTCTTATACCAGAAAAGATTAAGAAGAAAAAGCAACTCATCATGAAATATAGTCAGTGTTAAAGTCAAACAAGATATTCATAATAGGCATCTTCGTAAAAGTCCTTGAACCTTGAAGTGTGAGAATCACTCAGTGCAGACAAAAATTACCAAATAAAAACACGTGAAAAAGACTTTTGCATGAAAGAGGAATACTCTGACAGGATAAGCATACATGTTATTTTAAACAAATCATTTAAAGTTCTCTTAAAAGACTGGAAACAGCTCAGGTTTAATGAAACAAAGTCTGAAGATTTATGAATTATTTGTTGAAAAAAGAATTTAAAAAACCGACAATCCTTAAACAGTCCTAAAGAGCAACTTCACACAGAATGAAAGTGTTTATTTTGCTGATCTGAAATAGTTTGGTAGTCACTTTGCTGTTGCGTTGAAAACTATGGTTCAGAGTAGGTCATTGCAACATCACTATG